CGCGCCAGAGCTCTTCCCCACCACATCCTGCTTCTCTCTCCCTCCTCACGCCACCTGCCTTCTCACTCGCCCGTGCTCCTCAGCCGAGCGCCAGGTTGGGCTGCCTGGGCACCTGCCGAGTGCCACCGGCTGCCCCCAACTCCTCCAAGGCCCCGTCAAGGCACCTTTCACAGCCGAGCGGGGAAAGGTGGTTGTGCCGGCGGGATCAGGCAGCCTCAGCACAGGGATTGGATCCGTAAGGGAAAGCGGGTAGATGTCAGGCACTCTCCAAATCAACTTCCAAGCCCAAATTTGCAATAATTTGATTTCTAGAGGCACTGCCAGGTCTTAAGACTGTCTGACCAAGGCTTGTTACAGGTTATGCTGACATAGGAATGAGGCGTATTCACTCCAAGAGACTTTCAAAGCAGAGGCGGTAAAGAGTAGTACCCCTTGCGTACTGGGTGTCGTGTGGCAGCATCCAGGGGTGCCCAGGTGACAATTTTCCCTCATCCTGGCAAAGCTAGAGCTTTCATGGTCACAACAGATTATTAAAAAGGGGTTGTTCAATGTCCTATCATGCTAGAAAGATGCTTCTTAAAAGCATGCTTTTCTTATTCAGAAAATAATGGCTGTCATCCATAAGCTGTTTTCACACAGCCTTTCAATGCATGTCCTTAAAGGGAAAATGTGGACAAAAAGAGGAATTACAGCAACCTTAGCATGGCCTACTGATCTGAAAGCAACTGCAGCTCTGGGTCAAAATGGAATAAAGAAAGAAATGGAAAGCTTGCCAACGGCGCAAGCCGAGCACAGGCAACAGCCCATGGCCAAATAGCTGGTTCGCCCCCAGAACATCCTTGATGACGATGACACTAGAGCTACCCTGGCTCAGTGCCAGGGCACAGGGTTTCCCGTCAAATGCACTGTCATCCATCACGCTGGTCTTAACCACTGCTCTGAAAATGAACACTCAGACAAACGCAATTTGTCAGGAGCTTCCCAAGCAAAGAAAGGGGTGAGGAAATTTGTGAGAACCTATACTGGTATCATGACACTTTATAAAGGATCCAGTGTACATTGATTACCACAATCACCAAACTGCTGTTGTTCAGAGCTATACAGGTACAAAATCGCAATATTGAAATCCAGACCTTAAAAAAAAAGAAAAAAAGAAAAAAACTACAAAATGTCAGGACTCTGCTTGGATCCTGTACCTTACTCATTATTATGATTTTTAGCTGTTGTTCAGAATTAAAGGGGAACCCTACGCTCTGCCTGTGTCTCCCAGTGAAGTTTCACTGCAGCAAAGTCCCCAGATCTGTCAGCAACGAGACCCGAACCATGAGTGCTCCCGACCCTGGCTCCAGCTACTGCCTGCTGTGCAGTTGCCTGGGGCTTGGGGGGGACAGGAACGGGGGGATATTTTGTTTTCAATGGCACCACCAAATCCCCGTCCTCACAAAACTCCAACACAATCTCCTTTCCAGAGGCAAAAAAAGAAAAAAAAAAAACCCACGTGGCGTTTCTAAGAGGCGACAGGACAGTTGCGCCTCTGCAGACTGGGAGCAGCTGCCAAGGCATTTTAAAAAAGGAAAATAAAGAAAAAAAAAAAACGAAAAAAAAAAGAGAGCGAGAGAGAGAAAGAAAATCAAAAAGAAAGGACCCAAATAAAGGGTGGCAGCAGAGGG